CGCATCCACTATCGATCTAAAATTGTCTTTTTTTTGCCTTTTGGTTCTTCCTCGTAAAAGGGCAGCACGGAAATACATACGCAGTTACTCCGAGGGCGCTCGTGAATTTGAGGGCGAGTACCTGGAGTCCGGATTCTGTGTGCAAGTTTGAACCAGCCGAGGTGTCACCCACGTGGGCGGGCCAGGTCACCCTCTGACCTTGGAGCAGAGAGTCTGACCACTGCAGCGAACCCGCCTGCGCTCTCCAGAGTAACTACGCAGAAAATACCTCTGTGGGCAGAGGGTGCGGGACTCTGCACGAACACACGGTCACGGGGTTGAGTCCATGAGGGGCTGGTGTCGTGCTCAGGGCATGCGGCCCGCTTGCTCCCCGCCTGCTGCCGGCGGGGCCAGGCGTCTGCCTCGGTCGTCCGTTTTTGTCCTCATGGGGACCATGCAGAGGTTCCTACGACACGCGTCCGTCATCTTCTTGCTGGCGGCTCACCCTCTCTCTCTCCATTTCCCATCTGAGTCGAGATTCTGACACCCCATGTGTCCTCACGTTCTGCCTGGACTGTGGCCTTCCTGCCCCTCATTTCGCTCCCTGATTCCCGAGCCCTGATGACCGGCATCTGTGGGTGTCCCAGTTCCTCTCCCCGCTCTGTCATTCATGGCTCCTCCCACTTACGGACGGGCCTGCCTGTGGCCGCCGCCTGCCACGTGTTAGGTCTGAAGCCGCCCATGGTTCCAGGGCCAGGCGCCCTGAGGAATCGGAGTGCGCCCCCCACCGGGCAGAGCCACGTTTCTGGGCCAAGGCAAAACTTCACAGCCCCCGTTGACGGTTTCTTGATGGTATTTCCTCTCCTGCTTCTAGACCCTTCCTTCCTGGCTCCTTCGTCGGTGTGATCGCATGTGGGCCGTTTTAAAAGGGAAAGCCTCTGGACCTGGGGGCGGGGCAGGGAGCCGGAAACATGCCACGTTCCCGACTTTTCTGCTTTCCGAGGTGAACACGTAGCCCTGCGTGAATCTCTAGCAACGCGTAGAAAAGTTCCAACCTCGTGACGCCACGAGGTCCGATGACAGGACAAATGTTTTGGCAGGTGGCCTCGGGGTGGCTGAAGGTGCTGGGGAGTGAGGGGTCCCTCTGAACTGCTGCCTGCCTGCAGGCCGGGATTCACAGTCAGCCCCTGAACCCCCACCCTCGCCCGCCCACAAGCGACGTGTGTTCTCGCCTACGCGCGGGCTCATGGCGCTTCCTCCTCGGGACGGCAGGCAAGTCCCACCTTCCTTGGTCCCGTCACCTGACCCCAGACCACTGTCACGCTCTCCTCTGGACTCCTGGGCCGTGTGCTCTCTGCTAAAGGACACAGCTCACCCTATGTGCTGTTTGGGTTGGTGCAGTAGGGGGCACCTCGTCTCTAACAAAAGGCGCTCAGTGACACTTGGGGGCGCACTCACCTAGGTGACAGGCCACTGTCCCACCGAAGGGAAGGAGCAGGTGAAGAGCAGGCAGAGGTGTCCCAGCTTGGCCAACAGGCACGTGCAACTGCCCCCTGGCCCTGCCATCCAGCCAGTGCCAACCTGGTCTCAGCGCCCCCCCCACTGATGGCCGGCCACCTACTTCTCTCCAAGGCAGAGCTCACCCCGCTGCCCTCAGTCGGCCCCAGGCACAAACCCGTTTACCAGGCTCGGGATGAATGAATGAATGACTCCCGGAAACCGAGCAGCACACAAAAGCGTGCTGGAGGGGGTGGGATTCGGGGCGAAGACAGGACGATTTGCATGCGGAGCTTCCAAGGGTAAAAATATCTGGCTTCGCAGAGAGGCGGGAGCTGAAGCTCCGAGAACCCCGCTTTCTTCCTGGAGACCTGAGCCCGCTGCCGGCCGATGCCCCAGGACCCTGAGGCCTGGCGGTGCCCAGCACAGAGGAGGCCTCAGTGGAGGATCGGTGGGCAGCTACGAGAGCAGAGCATGGACGGGGAGGGCGGCGTGCTGGCCGTCTCTCCGGCTGCACCAGCGCACAGTCCCTCCTCCCCCCGTCCTGAGGGGACCCCCTCACCAGCCCGATCAGCACTCGGAGGAAAGATGGCAAACCGTCTGACGGACCAGGAGAGGAATTTCCCGGGGCAGGACGTTTTCCCTGGACGGTGTCGTGACACGTTCCCCCCCGCCCCTCGACAAAGAGACCTCACCAATGCTGCCAGCATGTGGGGGGCTCAGCGCAGGCCCCCCACCCCCGCCCCAGGCGGTGCGCACAGCAGACGTGTGTTTGCCTTTCCTTTAAAACGGGGCGCACTCACTGTAATCGTCGACGTCAATCTTCCGGTACTCCACTTTAGGCATCTGTCGGTCATCCACGGCCCTCTGCACGTGTTCATTTGTTTCTAGGTCGAAAATTTCTGGGGGAGAGAGGCAAAAAGGTGCATTCGGGTTTAGCCACCATTTACAAAGCTGTGGGTTTCCACGCGCATTACCCCCTCTCCCAAGTTCCTGTCCAGGCCTGGAGGCGGTCAGCGGTGTCCCCACCATACGGGCCAAGACACGGAGACATTAAAATGCCTGACGTTACGTGACGGGGCAGGTGCCTGGTCACGCGCCAGGAGCTCAGACAGGAGCTCCCTTCCCTCTGTAGGAGGCGCCCCCGTCCCCACAGATGTCTGCTCTGGTGGCTTTTACCCCATATGCGCATCGGGGCGTGCTCCCTGTGCTCCCTGTGCTCCCTGGAGAGCTCTGCTTTTGAGCGTCCCCACAGATGTCCGCTCTGGTGGCTTTTACCCCATACGCGCATCGGGGCGTGCTCCCTGTGCTCCCTGGAGAGCTCTGCTTTTGACTTGGGCCGAGGGCACCTCCAGCCTGCAGCATACAAATGGCCACTCCTTAATGAGGTGTGGGCCTCCTCTGATGTTTGGGATTAGCTGTTATCACATCTGGAGGAAGGAAGCCTGCTCCCGAGGGCCACTCCCCAGCTGTGCCCCTTGGCCGGCACCGCCTGCACCCTGGGCCTTCCCAGAGACACTGGGCTCTCCACTGGGCTGAGTTTTGGGAAATTAGAGGCCAGAATCTGATGGGGCTAGAAGGCAACTGACCAGTCCCTCACGTTTGTGCAGGAAGTAGAGGGCAGGATTGTGTGTGTGCACGCGTGTGCACGCATATGCATGCACGTGCACATGTGTGCAGCATGTGCGTGTGTGCATGTGTACGGCACGTGCATGTGCTAGCAGCGCATGCATGTACACGTGTATGTGCACGGAGATCGCGGAGTCTGCGGGGCCACCTGCCGCATGGTCAGGCCGCCCGGCCCGGACCTGCTGTGCCACCCCTAGCCAGCCCTTTCTGGGTCATTCGGTGTGCTCTCCCATGTGCACCTTCCCTGTGGGTCGGGACCCTGACCCCTTGTGTGACTGGGCACCACAGACACGGTCCGCCCATCCTAGGGTCACGCAGCTCCAACTGGACATAGGCGCTGATGCTCCGGAGGCCATGCCTCGGCCGCAGACCCTGAGCTCTGCATGTCCAGTCGCTGGCATTCGTGGCCAGGCCCCGCTCACGTCATCGTTTGCCAGGCACGTGATCTCCTTGAGACCCACAGCTGCAGCTGGCTAGCAGTGGGCGGTGGCCGAGAGCGAACTGAACCGTTCCCCGTTGCGGGGCGGAGAGCAGCGGTGGGCGGGCTCGCCTGGCACGGTGCTCTCCCGCGTCTACCAGACACAGGGGTGCGACCGCCACGGTGTCCCCCGGCGTGAGGGACCCGGGGCTGACACGCGGCTGGGCCGACGTGCGCAGTTTACAGAGGCCAACGAGGGACGCGCGCGAGGGAGGCTCCTCCGCGGAGCCCGGAGACCCCGGCGACCCCGCAGGCCGCTGCGCCTCTCACCTCCCGTCTTCGTCGTTCAAATGCAGAGTGGGGGGCGTGCGGGGCGCGGGGTGCGGCCCAGGCCGTGACTCCGGTCCACGGGGGCCCTGCCTCCCTGACATGTGGCTGGACCCCGCACCCCGCAGGCTCTCGCCTGCTGCCCCGTCGTGCTGGGCCTGCAGCCTGCGGCCAGGCGACTCCTCCACCCGGAAAACCGACCCCTCCTCCGGGGGCGACGAGCCCGAGGCCATCGCAGTCCGTCCAGTTCCCTCTGACCGCCAGGCCGGCGCTCGCTCTGAGTGGGTTTTGCATCCATCCCAACATTCGTTTTTTGGGCGTTTTAATTTTTTTTTTTGGCGTTTAAACGATTTTTAAAAGTTGATTTATGTCTGGTTCTATTTTCATCTTTTAATTTAAAACTTTAATAATTGATGGGTCTGTGGACTAGTATCACTATTGTTTTTTTCTAAATGCGGCCTCTCTTTCATCTACTTTGGGATGCTTCCGCCATTTTTTAACCTGTGTCCAAATACGCCGTTGGAGGTCTTTTTTCCAAAACTTTCCCCTTAGTGGTTGTCCTTGGTGCTCGAAACCATGTACCACCGAGCCAGGTGTCCCCAAGTCACTGACACTTGGCTGCCCTGGCAGTCAAAGGAACTGCAAAGTCACTCCTGTCACCAGGCCCTGAGGGAATTACAGACATGCCATGAGGTGTGACTTTCCGTGGGAAGGGAGGAGACACAGCCAGGGTCCTGCCGGGGAGGCTTGTGCCACCGTGTGAAGGCGTGGGTGGGGGAGAAAGGGTCCTTGGGGACAGGGCAGAGGAGGGCCTCAGAAGGGTGGGGCTGAGGCCACCGTCCTCACGTCTCAGCCCCCCTGAGGTCTGCATGGGACCATGCGCACCGTCCCCACCCCTCTGCGCGAATATCCACGACCACGTCCATCTCCGTGGGGTCCATTCTGGCACAGAGGTGGCGTGTCCCTTCGAGGCCCTGCCGTGAAGCTGTCCCCAGGGCCACGAGGACAGATGAGCCTCGAAGCGCCACTGGGCCTTGGGCACGGTGCGGGCTGTAAGAGGGGGAGGCTGGGCAGGGCCAGTGCTCACGCCCGTGGCCGTGGGCCCTGCTCCGTCACAGACGAGGCCCCGTGCGGCCTGCGATAGCTCCAGGCCTCGGCATATGTGGGGTGGGGTCTCCTGGGGGACACCGACCTTTACCTCCACCACGTTTGGTGACACTGGCGGTCAGCGGACCGCGAGGGCGTGTCCCCTCCCTGTGTCCCACGGGTAAGCAGCTGGACTGCCCCGCGCGGCTGCGCTGCCTCATCCCGGGTGACAGGAGGTGTGAGGAAGGCCAGGCACTTACTTTTCTTGTCTGTCGTGTTGTGCACGGTCACCGTGGGGACTCCGGGGCCTGCCTCGGCAGGGACGAGAAGCCAGAAAAAACAAAACAGAAAGAGGCTGTTAGTTTACTGAGAGCCCAGGGCCCAGGCACACTGGGGACTCTGGTCCGTGGGAGGGTCAGCGTGGACGGGTGAGGGACGGCAGAGGCCCAGCCTGTGGGGTGTCACAGCCTCTGCACCCACGGAAATTACAGCGGCCCCGATACCGGTACGCATTTTTAGATTGCCGAAATACCATAAAATCATCTCGCGGCGCCGTGTGGTCTGTCCTCATGCCCCATGCTCACTGCCCACGCTGCCTTCGCCAAGTTCCGGCAAATTGCTCGGGTGTCAGTCCTGAGCCATCTTTCCAGCCCCGCCCCGGCTGGCTCGGCCGGGGGCAGGGGGGCGGCTGTTCCCTGCTTCAAGCCGGGGACTCTGGAGAGCCACGCCCTGCACTGGCCCTGCGGGACACTTTGTAAAAGTTCGTTGATGGGACGGGACCAGTCCGCACACGTCCAGTGCTCCGGTTCTCTGCTGCGTCGCTTCGGCTTGTGGCTTTGCGGCCCCAAGGCTGTCACGAAGCTCGCCGCTCCGGGAGCAGCAAGAGGTACAGCAAAGGACGGGGCAGCCCTCGTCGGCTTTGAAAGCGCACTACCGGCAGGCCTGGTGGCCTTTCTAACCTCATCTCTGCCCCCTGCTCTGCCTCACCCTGTCCCAGCCAGCTGGACTTCCTACAGGTTCCGAAGGACACCAAGCCTGTGGCTACTGGCCTTACTATTCTGACGTCTCTGTCCCCAGACACTGGCGTGGCTTGTCCCTCTCTTCATTTGAAGCTCTGCTCAGACACCTTCTCCAAACACCCGATCTGCGTGACCACACGAGCCGCCTCCACCCCCATCCTGCTTCCCTCTGCTTCGGCGAGGTCACCGTCATGTTCTCTCCTGCCAGGACCTTGTACTGGGAGCTTCCGGTGTCTTCGCTCATTGTGCTTCTCACTGCCCTGGAGCGTGAGCTCCCGAGAGCGTACGGACAAATCCTGAGTGTTTGCCTCACTCACTCCCACTATTTCTGGCACCGCGAATAGTGTTTGCAATAGAGTTGGAGCTTGACGTTTTCATGGCGCGAATGCCGTGTGGGTGGGTGATCGCGGGAAGGGGCGGGGGAGGGCGGCCCCTTTCTGGTCCCAGGGGACTTGGGAGAAGGGAGGGAGAGAGAGGAAGTGGGGCAGGTGAGGCAGGTGGGAGAAAGGTGGATGGAGGGAGCTAGGTCCGTCGTGGGGACCCCATGCTCAGGTGTTCTCTGCTTCAGGCTGGGGATGCTGGGATGCTGTGAACTGACAGGGGGGGCTGTATCTCGGCTGCAGGACACGTAGCATTTGGGCAGAGGGACCACTGGCGTTTGGCTTCCCTGGGACTTGCAAGGGTGCCGTGTGACAGTGGCCGAGTCGAGAGCTGGGGAATCTGCCATGGACCCTGCCACTTAAAAAGTTTTCTGCAGACACTTGAGTAGACGGGCATCTCAGCCCAGAGCCCAGGAGGACGCGGCAGAAAAGCCACCAGGCTGTGGCTGACGGGCAGGTGGGGGCCGGCTCAGCGAGGAGACCCCTCTGAGCTGTCTGCTGCCCGGGGAGTAAGCCAGACACTGTCCAGTCTGCACCCAGGGTCCGGAGGTCCGGGGGCCTTTTCTCCACCCACGGACAGTGCTGCCCGACAAAACGCAGGCTGTCCAGTTACACTCGGCTCTCAGATCAACCAGACACACAGCAGAGTGTACATATGTCCCGTGCAGGATATGGGGCTTACTACTGAAAAAGTATTTGTCGTTTCCTTGAAATCAAAAGAAACTGGGCGTTCTGTGTGTTTTCTGCTAAGTCTGACATTCTCTGACCCAGGGGGCGGCCGGGCACAGGGGCCCAAGATCTGTGCATTTACACGGAGAGGGAGGGTGTTTACAGAAAGAGATGCACACGCTGGTGTTGCATTCAGATTACTGAACCAAACTGTCGCCCGGCTCTGAGACCCGCTCCCCCATGGGGGCTCGTGGGGGCGACGGGCTTGGCTACTGAGAAACGACACACCTGCATCTCTTTTCTTGAGCAAACGTGCGAACAGAGCACATCCCACGTCCTCATTAATAACGTAAGCACGTCGTTCATTCGGTGCCTGCTATGTAAAGGCATCTGGCCAGGTGATTAATACGAATAATTTCTAATCCTCGCAGCAGCTCTACGAGCAGATGCTTCTCACCGTGTTTCACAGATGAAGACACACTGGTCTCAAGAGCTTTTGGACATTCATCTCGTCCGTACGACGAGAAAGGTGCCAACCCTGGATTAGTCCCTTTTCATTTTTAAATTCCTGAACTTGATATGTGTTTGTAAAAAAACCCAAACACCCAAGAAAGGAATAAAGGGACGAGGAAAAGGGGTCTTTCACCTCCGCCTCCCAGAAGTGGCCTAAATGTCTCTAAAATGCCCTAAGATGTTTCTCTGCACATATAAGGTCATATTGACACAGAAGCAAGTATTTTAAACATACAGATAAAACACATAAAGACTTGTATGTAAATCTGTAGCTTTCCCAGATCTTAACATAACACTGTAATGCCTTAGCTTTTTTTACAAAACATCACACACAGGTTCGAAGTCACCTGCGTACCCTTCCCTGACCCCGGCCTTCTCCCCTTTCCTTCTCAGAGGTCACGATTCTCTTAAAGTTACTACTTATCACTTCCCTGCATACGTAAAAGATATGTTTTTGCCACATGGTGTGTCTTCATAATAATACACATGCCACATATAGTATAACATGTGTGCTACGTGCTGTTGAGTCGGCTCTGACTTCCAGCGGCCCCGTGAACGAGTGACATCCACAATGCCCGCTCCTCGACTGCCCTGCTTGTGGACTCCTGCCTATGGACTGCATGTGCTGTAGCATCTTACTGTCTAGTCTGCGGGAGGACGCGGCCAAGTGCACGGGAGTGACAGTGGGCGCGGCCACCTCGGAGAACGATTTCACGACGGCCACGAAACCTGAAGATACTCGTGACCCCTGCGCACGCAGACAAGGAGGCACTCAGTGGACTGTCCTTAGCGACAACTGTGTCTGAGTGGCAAATTGCTCAGCTAGCCATTAGCAGGAGAGAGGACGACTTAGACGCAGCATTGTCACAGAGTGGAAGGTCACAGAGCATAAGAAACGAAGGAGTGAATACATACCCCACCAACACGCACAAATGTGAAGAATATAATGTCGTATGAGAACATCAACGGCAAATACCGTAATGTGCAGTTGCATACGTCATTTTTAAAAGCTGTAAAACTTCACAGATGTGTACTATTCCACTATATATATATATATATACATACATGCACACACCACAATTTATCGGGTGCATGGCCCGCCGATAGGCGTCGAGGCTGTCCTCTCTTGTCCCTTGTCACCATAAACAGAGTTGCAGAAAGCCCTCTCACACAGCTTTGCACATGGGGTTACGGCACTGCGCTTGCTTTGTTAAAAAGGGTTTGTCATCAGTTTTCACTAAATAAGCTTGCGGTTCCAAATGCAAACCGCACCCCAGGGCTTTAAGAAAATAGAAGTTTGTTTCTTGCTAGTTCCACCTTGAGAACCAGCTCGGCTGCAGCCCTACAGGCTTCTTCATGCTGCAGCTCCATTCGAGGATCTGGGCTGAAGGGTCGGCCCCGTCTAGAACATACAGTGCTCGTGGCAAAAAAAAAAAAAAGAGCAGAGGAGTCTGCAGACGCACACGGTGGCTGTGCTGTGGGTCACGTCCGCTCCTGCGCCTTTGGCCAAGGTAGCCGGGCAGAACCTCTCCTGCGGAGCCTGTGCAAGTCACACAGCAATGGCGGTGGGTGCGGGAGCTCCCGGGAGGAGGCACTGGGGACAGCGATGGGCCACCACGTGGGGCAGAGACATGTGATCTGCGACTAACACGCTCTCGTCGCCCTCCAGCGGGCAGTGCGTGGAGGTCTGAGCCGCGACTTAAAAACACCTTTGATTTTTTTCAACCACTCGAATAGGCAAATACTGTATCTTGGTATTGCTTTAATTTACATTTTTCAAACTTTGAGTGAAGTCGGAGGACTTTTCACGCTGCATTTCGTGCGTGCGTGTGCGCGTGTGCGTGTGCGTGTGCGTGTGCATGTGCCGTCGGAACTGCCCTTTGCCACGGACTGCACCGTTGCCTGGTCTCACGTTAGTTAGAATTTGAGTTTCGCAATTTAACAAACGAATGTAGATTTTTCTCCTATTCTAATCTGCCACTCAAAAAAGTCCCCAAGTACCAACGGCAGCTGTCGTCACGCTGAACCGAAATTTCAAAGAACAAAACTGCCCCCCTCCCCAGGTTCCCACCGCACCCCAGGCACGGGAGACAGACATGGAGACACGCACTAGAACCCTCGGGCTGGGATCCGTGTCGTGCCGGTGCCGATTCGGAATCTGGGGGCCCACGTCACACACGAAATGTTTGCTGAGTGATTAACGGTTCATGAGGAAGACCCCGTAAGCACACGCTGGGTTGTGACAGATCAAGGTGGCACATTTAAATTCGGCCAAGGATGGCTCTCTTAAAACTATCCCTGCGCCCGCTCTATGATTCGGGTTACTGTCTCTCTGTATTGGCCGTCTCCGTTCACGAGACCTGAACTCTATTCTATATATATATATTTTTTGAGTCACATCACAACTATGCCATCTTACCGCTATTTTAATATAGAATAGAATATCCTTTAGACTGGAAAAACAGAAACAATACAGATGGAAACTACACGAAGGGAGAAAAAGCTTAAAAGCGGCCCTATGCACAATGGAAATCTACCGCTCCCCACCTAATCCCATGCAGCCATCCACATCCCCTCTGAAGGCCGGGCCCTCCCTCAGCGGGCGGGGCCTCTGGGTCCTTGGCCACCTGTGCCCTGGAGCGCAGCTCTGCCTCTCTGATTGTTGTCACGCGGGCTCCTGCTCAGGAGGTCCCGACCCACCGCCCCCTGTGATCTGAGGTTCCCCACTGGTTCTCAGGCACCGTGCTGTGGAGACACCGCCTCACCCTGCCAGCCCCCTGAGACGGGTGCACCCTGTTCCAGAGGTTGGAATGTCTGACGGGAACCCTGCTCTGACGGGAACCCCGCTCTGACGGGAATCCCGCTCTGAACGGCAACAGGTCCGCACTGGCACCGAGAAGGAGGCTCTGTTCTCTGCCTGAGCTGGAGGTGAGCAGGGGCAAAAGGAAGTCAGGATGAAGGCGCAGGACTGTGTCTCTGTTCTCGGCCAGCTCGGCCGGTGCCCATATGTTTCTGTCTCGTCTGAGGACACGGCACGTGCTTTCAAAAGTACATAATTATATTTCACTGAAAACTGCTCTGTCGATTAGGTCACATATTAAATATTTGATTGTATCTGGACGCCTATCATCTTATGCATACATTCCTCTATTCGCTTGAGCATGCATATGTGAACGGACAGCATGGACATAAAATTATTCTTTATGATTCGCTTTCCTGTGTTGTCATATGTCCGAAGACCTTGGCAGGTAAGTGTGCCCCACAGCTAGTGCACCCTTGGAGTCAGCCAAAAAAGGGTTAATGTCCACACTTGAATGCAGAACCGCGTGTTCTCCGACAGTGGAAAATTGGTTCTGTCTGCTCAGCCTCTGCCGACAAAGAGGAAGCCACAACAAAAACAATATTTGTCCTTTCAAAAACTTTGGTTAGTCGCAGAGATTATTTTGGCTCCAGTTAGATGTCTGACGTCCACACGTTCCTGTGTGTTGGGGAGGGAACGAACAAGGTCAAGCGAGTGAATTCACAGCCAACACAGAAGGGATTTTGATCGATGAAGACCCTGCAGCCCGAGGGGGACAATTCAAATTGCAAGGAGAAAAGATTCGACAACAGACGTGCAAACAGAAAATACTTATTTTTGCATCTCCGGTTTCTGGTTCCATTCATTTCAGGACATTAATTTACACCTGCTTCACTGGATGGAGAAAGGTGACAATCACAGATGAAAACGAAGTAATTAAAAAGGGCACTCGAACTGGAAAAAGAAAAAAAGCCGTCGGAAAAAAACAGTCGGAGAGACAAGGCTTGTCTCATCTGTATCCTCAGAGGATGTTTATGTGACAGATCATTTCCAACCAGAAGCTAAACTCATGGAACGTAAATGATGGGGACTCAGGCAATGTCATAGCCACCACAGCACAGCTCCGAAGCGCTGGTGGCTTCCAAGAACAGCTGCCAGCAGCATGAGCGACAGGAAGGCTCTGGCCAACGGGGATACGGGGCCATGGCTGCACCGCGCAGGGCATCCAGCCCCTTTATTTGCGGGCTGATGGATTATGCCTGCCCCGCCCACAAGGGTGACACACTGAGGTGACAGTATCAAGCTAATGGGTGGGAGCTGGCCAAGGTGCTGGTGGGAGCTAGCCAAGGTGCTGAAACCATCGGCGCCAATGAAAACGTAGTCCCAAAGACGGTATTTTCCAGTCGAAGCCGCAGATGCGTTTTGTGGCCGTCCAATTCCCAAGCCTTGTTGCTGACATCGAATCTGGGTCTTGGGGTTCCCCCTGCCATGCCCCACAGCGCTGAGTTTGCTTTAATCCAATCTCCTGTGTCCAGGGAAACTGAAAGTGATTGCATCCCATGCAGCAGCCTAAGTGACATCGCTCAGTGGCTTCATGGAGATCGGTGGCTCGTTTTACACACTCACAAATGGCAGTGAAGAGCATCACGTGAACTTTCCCCAGTCACATGTAGTCTCTTGCTCTAGACGTTATGAGTGACACTTAGGACGCATGACAAGCACTTTTAATAAGAGAAGCCATCCCAATCAGAAAAAGGTAAGGGGCTTCCATACGTTCTCGAAGTTCAGCCAGCATCTTTGTGTAGCTGATTCACAAAAGCTTGAAGTTTTAGGAACAATCTACACGGGAGCTTCACTTTTATGCCCTGTACACATCAACCCGGGTGAAGTTTTTAGATGTTAAGCGTAATTCACAGGATCAAAGTATGAAGGAAGGAGCTTAGTTTTATTAGTTTTGTGAGATGAGGTTAAACTATGGGAAAAATGAGGCGACATGCATTGGCTGTTTTGTTTGTCCCTGTGTGTGGCCAAGCTAGAATCTAGATGGGGGTCTCTTTTCCTATTCCGGGGTCTTCTCAATACACGTCCCACAGCTGCTGGTATTGTCATGTCTCTCAGACTTGTGATAACACTTCTCATCGTCTGCCTCCATGTGCTTCCAGAAGTTCTGTGGTCATTTTCAAGGAAAGCAGTTAAGTCCTAACTTGAGCTCTCATGCTATACTTATGTCTTACCTCTCCAGCTATCTGTGGGGCTTAGGAACCAACTCACACAAGTTTGTACCCCATGCAGAAAAATGGACAGCATCTTCTTAACAGTAAGCAGCTGATTGATATTTGCAGATTAAATAAACTGATAAAGAACCCGCTGGTGGGATGCATGCTGTGGAAATTGTAGAGTCCATGGAGCCAGTTCAGAGGCTGAGACCCGCTCACCTGAGTGACCTCAAAGTTGCCACAGAGGTTAGCTTTGGCTTTCAGAAGGTGCAAAGGATCACGTGGAGTCATCATCCAGTTGCTTCTTCATCTTGTTTCTACTCGGAAATGGTCGTGATGGTCTGTCTCGGTGGTGAGTGCTCTGGGACAGACTCCCTCTCGTCTGCATGAAGATGTGCTCCCCACCCCGGTGTACACCTCCCACACCATCCAGGAGGCTCCTGGCCCTACGAGTTCCACCTCCACTTCAGCTAGCCAGGGAGGATGACTGCAGCTCGTATCCAGAAAGGAAACCAAAACCCTTTGTCCACAGACAGGTTCCATGATAAACCTTGGTTGGTTTAGCCTATTTTTTTTGCACAGAATGTAAATGTAATAGCCATTATTAACTGACCACCATGTAAATTTATGTCTCCGGTTATCAGAAACAACAGGTGAAATTTCTCCCACTACAGAGAATAGACGAGAGTGACTGAAAGCCCCACCTCTGAGATACTGAGTCAGAACAGCATC